GGGAGTTGTCTGGGGAGGGGCTGATCACTATTTAAGAATGGGATGGGCATCGGTCAGCAGGCGGTGAGCAATTGTACTGTGCATCATTTGTTTTTCTTGTGTTTAATTCTTCTTATCCTGTCATTATTATTATTGTCATCATATTTTGCTTTATTTCAGTTATTAAACTGTTCKTATCTCCACTGGGTGGTATGGGGTGGGTGGAGTGAGCTGTGTGATATTTGGATGCCGGGTTAAACCATGACAGAGAGAAATGGCATGAGTTCAGGAGGAGCCAAGGCAGCCTCAGAGGCCAGTAGGTCAGTGTCACACTTTGCCTGTCTGTGCTAAGAGACATGGGGAGATACAGTGCAACCTCCTCTCCTCTGTGAAGCAAGCAGTTTCTGTTCACTGCATTGTGGCCTAGGAGTGCTTGCTACAGCAGGGTTACTTCAGCTTCTCTGCCTCAGCAGGGTCTCTTGCAGGCCTTCAAGCTCATGCTGGTTGCTCCAGATCCTGGCAAAGCAGTTGATCCCGTTCATCAGTTTTGCATAAAAGCAGCAGGGAGAGCATGCTGCTGGTCTGAGAAATAATCAGCTTCTTTTGTTGCCTTTGTCAGTACAGGAAAGACCTCCTGCTGCTGACTGTTCCCTGTGAATGAGTGCTGTCACTGCACTGTTCTTGCTATTTCCTGCATCTATTTCTTTTGCATCTCATGTGTTTTAGTACTGAATTTCTGAGCTCCAAGCTGGCAGCCTGCTCTTTGGCTCTCAGCTTCCCTGTCCATCTGCGTCCTATTTGACATCTAGCTCCTTCGTCCTGACTGCTGTGACACCAGACCCTGAGGCTGATGTAGCCTTCGAATCAGAGATCACCTTGCTGTTACCCACCTCTGCCAAAAGAAGATGGTTCCCAGCATTATCCAAAAGAGCAAAGGAAAGCAAAGGATGATGACCAGGCATGTTCTTGGAGTCTGCCATACAGGGACACATTTTCAAAACAGAAGTCTGGTTATTTCAGGGCATGAGGTAACTGTGAAAGAGCTGCRGAGAGTCAGGAGTGAGGTGCTGTGATGGGGATAAAACATGCCCTGCACTTTCAGGYCTGAGCCAAAGGAAGGTCCTTCTCTGTGAATCTGTGCAAAAGCAGGGTGGTAGAAGGAAGGAGGGACCTTGTTCTTTTCTTACTGCCCAGCGAAGAACATGGGTGAAAGGAGAGAGATGAGGTGGCTGAGTCCTCCTCTCCTATTCAGATCCATTGGCCTCTCACACTTTTGCTGATGAGAAGGTTTGGGAAAGGGACTGGGAAATTCAGTAAACTACCCAAAAGATAACAGGGAGATAGAGTTTCCCATAGATTACAATGTTGAATGGTGGGATACCAGAAATCTACAATGACGCCTTGGGGAGAGAAGCAATTCCTAAGACAAATCTATTTTTAAATTTATTTTTCCTCCTCTCTTACAAAGTAGTTTACAGACATTCATTAACCCACATGATTTCCCTTGGGGATAGTCAGTAACTGGGAGAAAGCTCTGCTCAGTGTTTCAGGGCAGCCTGCTATTTTCAGTAGTGGAAGGAGCAAACACAGCCATGAATGGAGGAGGGGAGAATCATGTAGAAAGCATTCTCCCTCTTGACTAGAACAAGGGACAGGTTCTCAGGAGATGCACCCCTTCCCAGAGTGTGTAAGAAGAWGCTCCTGGTTTTCTCTGGTTTCAGGGATCATATGGAAAACTTTTCTTTGGGTTAGGTTAGGTTTCTGTCAAGTCAGCAAACTGCCCTGCCATGTATTCACTGGGATTGATGCAAGGGAAGCAGCTGGCTGAGGGTTGTGGCTGACCAGGCTGCCAATGTGCTGGACTGAGTGTAATTAGYAGCTGCCTCCCTGGGAAAAAGTATAGCACCAAGGCAGGCAGTCATGTCACTCACTGGCTCCCTGCAAAGCTTCCAGCAAAATCTAAGATTAGGAGATAATACACTATGTGTAGAGTGAGTATTTTGTTCAGGTTTACAGCTTACAAAATTTTACCGCAGTCTTGCAAATGTTGTGGTTTGGAGAAAAGCCAGCAAAGGTTGAAAGAACACATAAATTAAGGAACTCAACGGATGGGTAACTTGAGAGACATTGAGGAGTGTAGTCACGGATTTCTTGCTCTGATTTGAGGTTGTGTTGCAGCCAAAAGGCTGGTACTGCTGCACATGCTGTCCATTGCACACACTCTGGGAAGTGGCAGCTGTGGACTGAGTAGTGTCCCTAGCCCTACCCTACTAGGGCCATAGCCCTAGTGCTCAAACACTGATTGTCATTGCGTTGCTGAGCAATGCAATGCTTGTGCGATTGCTGAATAASTAAGGCAAGGGCTAGGAAGTTTTGAAAGGGAGAAGAGAGGAGTGTCCCTTTCAGCTGTGCCAGACAATGTTGCTGGGCTGCCAGGCAAAACTGCTGCGGTTTGATGGAAGAAGTGATGGGATTGTACGGTCAGGGCAGGAGTCTGCTTCTTCTAAGCAGTTGTTGAGTATGTACATACAYGTATGTCTTCAGGCTTTCCTTTTGTAACTTCATTTCCAGTATTAGAATCAAATGTTGATTTGCAAATGTGTGGTAATATTATTTCTGGCCTGCCAGGTGCTTTGGCTTTAGGAAGATTTAGGGATACCCTGAAGTAGGAATGAGCTGACTGATGTGCCCTGGGGTTTCCTGGATCTGAGGATAAATTTTACATCTTGCTGTGATGGAGTGTTTGGAGATGTTACTGATGTCCCTGCCGAAAGCAAGGTGTTTGGCAGGGGACAGTCACTCAAGTGCTGGAAGACATGCACATCACACCACATGGAAGCAAGGTGAAATACTAGGAAATAAGCAGACCCTAAGCTACCATCTTTTAAGTTCACAGCACAGGCACTAACTTGCCTGAGGTCAGAACTAGCAGGGCTGTCCACCCATCAGACGTGACCTCCAAATTTTCCAGTAGATGTGTAATCTCTCTTCCATGAAGATCATCCCACTCATGAATTTTCTAAACGTAATGCCTCTAGTACAGGGACCAGTTGCCTACAGCCCCTACAAGCATAGGCAGTGTGATTTAAGCTGAAGACAGTGACCTAAGGCAGGCAGAGCTTTCCAAAGGACATGGTAAGCAAGGCAAGATGAGAAAGCTCTTTTGAAAACAAAGGATTTTCAGAGTGGAATCACTGCTGTCAAACAGGTCATTATGAAGGATTTGGGTGCAGAGGGAGTAGGTAGCTGTGCTTCAGCTTCATAGGTGGCTGCAATGTGTAGAGGGGATCCAGAGTCACTGGCGAAACAAACATCCGTGGAATTGGGGATATGGCATTCCTKAGGAACTGTGTGTCACCTGTGGGGAAGCCCTGAAGAGAATTGAGAAAACAGGCCAGTGTGGTCACAGCTGGGGACAGTGACTGTTTTAGTGTCAGCCTCCTGCTGGAAGCAGGAACAATAAAATCAGGAAGGAAAGAGATAGTRAAGTCAAAAGGGGGGAGTGCAGGACCYGGGACTTTCAGTGTCTTGGACAGAAAGGAAATRCAGGGAGGAAGAGACCACAGGATGTRTRATTAGGAGGACACAGTGAAAGTGYTGAAACTGAAGAGGAGAGTTGATGGACCCAGACCCTAAGGGGGAAGAAGTGCTGAGCACCACTACACTGCCTGTTGAGGTGTCTCAAACTGCAGCTGTAATTGTTTTAAACTGAGAGATTGACAAACCAGAAACCTCTGCAAGCAGGGTTACTGAATGATGAAAAACAGGAGGACATAGCCAGAAAGGAGATATGCTGAAAGCAGCTGAGGTGGTTTAGCCTGAAATTTAATTTGGGAAAGTTCACTGGAACATGTTGCTTAGTCAAGATGTTCTAAAGGTAATTAGCCATTTTTTTCCAATTACAGAACTTACTCTGTTGCCTCCTCCCCCTATATTTCAGCATGGATTTATCCAGCTTCTCATATTAATCCTCTTTGATCTGCTAAGAACCTAGGTAGCTTGGTAAAGTCTCACCTCCTTGCAGCCCAGAGTTTTTCAGCTCCTTTTAGCCTGGACCTGGGCAGTGGTTCAACACATGCAGGTTTTTTTCTGTTTCYCGGGGTTTTTTTTTGGTTTGGTGTGAGGTCCTCTGAAGACACTTTGCCTTGTATCATGCAGCCTTACTATTCTTGCTTGTTYTGCATAACCTTTGCTGCCAGCCTGCAGTGAGTATTTTCCATCCACATTTCCATGGGCCAAGATGGAGTTTGTGGCACTGGCTGTGTCTCATGTTCAGCCCCCTGACCTGTCAGCAGCTGGTCTCAGTGCAGTTACCCTAGAAATGATCGCTACTGSTCTAAGTGAAGTGTTCAAGCCCATTTTGACTGCAGCACCAGCTTCCTCCACAAGCAGAAAGGATTTTTGCAGCCTGCTKTCCATAAGCATGTCAACAGCTCCAGAGATGCGTCCGAGGCAGCTCCCATTCGTGCAGGGCCTGCACTGCAGTCGGGGGAGCCTGCAGGAGACAGCAGAGCTGAGCTCCACAGCTGTGGCCTTGAGCTGGACCTGCAAACAGGCAGGAGCAGAGGTAGTGCAGGACAGTTTGTAACAGCACTGACTGCTCTYTGTGCAGAATTGCCAAATACTTGCACCTGCCTCCCTGCTTAGTGCCAAGCAAAACAGCCACAAGGACACAGGGGATGGGAAGTGGGARAGAAAGTAAACTGAAGCAGCAATGGCCCCAAGCTCCAGGCAGGGCTGTGGGAGTGCCACYCAGAGCTGAGGGCTAACCACAACTTAGCTGCTATCCCAGAGCACAGCTGGCTGTGGGCTCTGTGACCCAGATTTTGYCTACAAGGCAGAAACATTACTGGGTTGAGCAAGCTGAGCTGCTACTTTGGGGAGAGGGTGATGCCATAGAGAATCTTTAACTTCCTTTTCCTRGAAAATTCATCAACAGGAAATCCAAGTTTTGCATGATGCTTCTAAAATTCTTTTCCAGGAAGATGCCAGAACCAAATTATCTGCTAACCACAGATGTATGAACTTTCCACAAGGAACGGCTTTATTAAAAAATAAAATATGACCAGATAAATTTTCACTGTGTTGCCCATCAGGCACAGAGATGCATTTGTATGTTTTTACAAAAACCATGAGGGAAGAGCAGGCTTCATTGGCCTTCTGGAATTCAGGCACAGCAATTAGTTTATGTGTACATATCTCTCCGTTCACACATAAAACTTTTGGCATAGCATAGATGGCAAGCTTCAACTAGGACCTTTGTGGTTAACAAAACCTAATTTGCTTCTGTGGAAAACCAAGTATCCAGGCAGAGCTATTACTTTTAACGTAAGATCATTAGATGTGGGATGGTTTGAGTTTTTTTTCCCCTTCCCTCCAGCTAGTTCTTTACCACACAGACTCTGTTTTATTAATCCAGATGGTTTTGGGCAGCCAGGACTAAATGCCATGCCAGTTTATGAGGTATAGTCCAGCCAAGCAATTCTTCATTCTCAATGTGTTGTCTGCTGTCCATTACTTCAGCTCTTGGCAGGAATTTCTGATGTGCAAACATTCCTTAGAGGACTTGTTCACATAACTGCAGTATGTCACTATTTCTGAAAACCTTCAAGCAGCCTATTATAATCAGGTGGTCATGTTTTCCTAGGACAAACAAGTCTGTTCAGACTTTGTCCTGTGGAATTTCAGGTTGTTTGTACTGTAATCAGAGGTTCTGTCTGCTGGACATTTYTGTCCTTCAGCACATTCTGGCCACACCTAGTTCCATCCCTAATTAGCCTGAGTAGAACTCAGAAGAGGAGCTGAAGTCAATTTTCCTTGTTATCCTCTGTAGCTCCCTTCTACCATTYGTTGACCTTACATGAAAGTCTAGCATTAGTGTTTGAAATATGCAGGCTAATCAGGTAAACCTCAGTATTGTTCATAGGACATCTCAGGTCATTTTAGCACTGACTGTATTAGTCTCAGTTCTCTCAAAAGCCTCACAGGCATGGCTCTCTTCACATTCATGTGTGCTAGGACAAAGGAGCAAGAAATCATTCCATTGTGGGTCAGCAAGTGGAACACTTATCATTAGTGTTGTGCAGTAATTGTACTTTTACCCRGGACACAGAACTGAAAGCAGAGACTTGATCTTTAAACAAATTCAAGTGCTTATACACCAACACCTCTAACTGCATGGCATAAGCTTAGAGGCATCTTCAGATACTGAAGCTAGAATACTAAGTAAATTCATAGCTAAATCCAGCCATTTCAATGCCTGTTGCTTAGATATTTAATTGCCTTTTGGAAATATTTYGTCTTTTCTCAAGAAATAACATAATAGACTTTGAGCCAAATGCTTTAGCTTTATCCTTTTGGTTTGCACCCCTCTTCCCTATTCATGAAGTACAGTGCTAGGGATTTTGAGCAAAGCTTTTCAACTGCTAAACTTCTGTAGTCTCACAACAACACTAAGCAGCATTAGTCTCTGATCTCTTTGTCCATGGCAGACTACACTTCAAGGCATCCAGTATGCTGGAAAAGGTTAATTTCTGCTCAGTCAGGCAACAAGATGTTTGTGATATTTTAATTATCAGTGTTTGAGCATGCCTATCCCCTCCTCTGTTTCAGTTTACATTTTGGTTTACTAGCTGCTGTTAACATGCTACTGGCCATTTAATCCKAATGTTCACCCGTGATTTCAGACTTTATGTGTAGCACCCTTTTTCCAAACAACTCTGGAACAGTTAACCCGTGTGGTTGGTGGAGGCTTGACTGAGTTTTGTGAGTCTGACATAGCCAGGTCACTCACACTTGCTAAGCCMAAAACGCATTTCAGCAGCAATTTCAAGCAGATGTACTAAGTAAGCCATTTTTAAGCAACTGCTTGTTTTYCTTTGTTTCTCCAACCCTGGGAGCTTTTTCAGGTTTTTGTTMCCTCAAGTGCTTGGGCTTATCAGCCCTTATGTTGTAGTATGCAGAGCACTAGGAGCAGGAGGCCAGGGCATCCCAGCAGCCTCACAGGCTTTGAAAGGCAGGACAGGTAAGATAAAGATTTGATAACTCTTCCCTGCTGAATGGCACTTAACAACTGGGAATAAGTGCACTTACAGCAATTCAGGATGAGAAGGGGAATTACCCCTCTATAGCTAATTTGTGCCAGCCAGCAGGCAACTTCCACAGTGCTACCCTCATCACAAGTGCAGGGTCTTTGGCAAAGCAGGGAGTACACATCCAGCCCTGTGTAAGTCAAGCAGATGTCCAAGAGGAAAAAAAGAGGGCCTCTACTGTGTGCCAAGTGCTCTTGAAAAGAGGTGTAGCCAAAATAATCTAGATGCATTAGAAACCTCAACATACACAAGTGAATTTAGGGATCCTAGAGAGAACAGCAGTGGAATGTTGCTGTCATTTTTTTAAAACCAGCCTTCAGCACGTGTCCATTATAGCTCAGGGAGCATTCAATTAACTTCAACTTGCTGCACAACAGGTCTGTTCACACGTCATTAAATGTGCAAACAGCCACACCATGCAAGACAGAAGCTTCCTTCTCCTGTGCCTCAGCTATACTATCATTCACTCCTGTCGTTATCACAACAAATAAGAGGGCAGTGGAAGGGGATGTTCAGGTTGAAGCTGTATGACTTATACCAGCTGCCTTACCAGGGAAGCCAAGAAACTTGCAGGTGAGGGATACTGAAAACTTATAAAATATATAGGAGAATAAAGAGCTTTCTGCCAGTCAGCTTATGGAGCTAAAAAAGGGGAAAACAACAGCAGAAGTTCCCTATTACCCTGCACATCCAAAATTCCTTGAACAGGAAGCCTGGAGGTAGGGCAGACCTCAACACCCTATGGATGCATGGGCATTAAAGCCAAGGAAGTGTGCTTTCTCTCTTTTATAGAGAGAACACATGAAAATACTTGGAAAACTTCATGGAAACTCTTATCTGCTTTCATTCAGTGCAAGTGAAAGTGCAAGTTTCTTTCTGCACTCCTAAACTACTATAGTGCTCAGGAAAGTCTTTATTCATCCTTGTTTATTTTTTTAGAAAATCCCTACAGATCTAGGTGTTTAAAATTAAGCATTAGTTACATGGAATATGTGCCTTTAAAGTCCAGAAGCTGCTGGATATACTGCAGAGGTGGGTTGGGGCCTGGAGTGACCCAGTGACCTCTGCAGGAGATGCTGGTATGGCTGTGAGGCACTGAAAAGGAAGCAGCAATCATGATCCAACCTTCTCAACATAATTAGCAGGATAGAGTCCAACTTGACCAGTGAGAAGTCGGCCCTTGCACCAGCCCTGCTCATCTTCCTCACTAATCTTCATTAGTTCTTCACCTAAAAGTAAGAACAGTCATTAGAAGGCAGCCTTGAACAAAGTAGCATGGCATTTTTACCCACCTAAGATGACTTGATAAAAAGGAAGACTATTGGTCTGAATCACCACACTTTTCTCCCCTTATCAACATCCTTATCATAATGCACAGTTTAATCAAAGCCAGAATTACTGACCTCCTCAGTATTTATACTGAGAATCATCAAGGAAGTTAAAAGGAAGGAAGGAAGGAAGGAAGGAAGTTAAAACAGACCTTCACTTCTTCTATTTAGCATCAGAAATTTTTTGTGCCCTCTAATTCTGGCTGCTTTTCTCCCCCCGAGGAACATAGTAACAAGCCAGAGGGATCTGAAGGATCTGAGAGATATTTTTCTTAATGGCTCTGATAAACAAGTGGGAAGGAAATACAAGAAGCTGCTAAGCTCTGGCTATTAGGACCCAAAATGCCTATTCCATGATGGAGTGTCTGGTTTGGCCACAGTAAGGTATGAAATCAATTTATTTCTCAGACTATGACCAGGAAAGTCTTTTAACTTATTCCCACATCTACTTTGGGAAGGGGCAGCAAGATCCTCTTCTCCACCAGTAGAAAGTCATACTTTTGCCAGAGASGAAGGTCTGACTGCAACAACAGACACATTCCACACTGGCAGTCTCAGAAAGTCACTGCTGTTAAGCTGAAGCCTTACTGGTATGTGTTGCTCAGAGCAGATTCAAAAAGGAGATGACTACAGCTAACAAGTCATACCCCTTTTCATCTGCTGAGTGGAAAGGAAGAGCAAAGTTGAGTTCTAGAGCACCCATACTGCAAGGTATTTTAAGTGTTAGGAAGTTTMCTAGTATGGTAACACTGCAGCRCAGATGTGGGCCTCAGGAATAAGGYCMKGATACTAAAGYACTTCAGTGACTTTAAATGGGTRTATTTTGGAGAGGTATAGCACAGAGATACCATATAAAACTGAAAACAAGCAAGGTCAGAGACACTCCCAAGATTCAGATGTCCTCTTAAAATTGAGAGGAGTGCACATGCAAGCAAAATTTAACTAAAGCAAGAAAAGGGGACAGGTSTGTTTACTCCAGCACTCAATCCTCTGCTGTGAGCCAGGATCTCCATTCTCAAGATACCCATTTTGAGCAACAGTTTGCAGCTGTTTTTTTGCCAATTGACCTCTGCCTTCAATAGTACATGTCAGTCAGCTGAACTTTCTCCCAAAATATCTATCTTCACATTACTTGAAAAGACAATCCAGAACACCCATGTAATTTTTATATCAATGGTGCAAGGGAGAAGCATTTAATAAAGTCTCAAGACACAATTCAGAATGCATGCCATAAGGAGGCAGGAAGATCTGTTTTATCACTTGGGATCTGTTCTCCCTACACTCTGACCAAGGCCTAGACAGTCTCTTTCCATGTGGCTTCACCACCTTCTAGTCTAAAAAGAATTGGATTTCCCACTATATCATCCACCTCGAAGGAGCCTGGCAGTGAGTTAGACCAAGGGAAGAATAAGTGTCAATTTTCAAGTGGACATCCAGTTCTAAGAGTGTTTCAGTCATTCAGTCAGCCCGAGTGAGAACAGTACAAGGTTAGTAAGAGATTAGTGCTTCTGTACCTGCTTTAAAGCTCAGCTCATCAGCCTCCTGTCCTGTGTAATCATAGAGTGCTCGTACCCGTACACCTGGTACCTTTAGGTCTTCCTCATGCCCGTTGGCATCCAGGCACTTCTTGGGAGTGTCCTCATCTGACCACTCCGAAATGTCTTCCTTCCCTCCGCTTTGTGTRTGGAAGGATAAAGGGAACAAGGTGCTTGTTAGCAGATTCATCTTTCACCCACCTCCTCCTGAATCATGCACCACCCTGACTCCCCTTGAGATTGCTCTGCTGTAGAACAGGGTGCAAGAGGTGCAAGAGGCCCAACAGCCAAGTGAGCGTGAACAGGGAAGAGAGATCCCAGGAAGAACTAGATTTTATTGAAAGCACCCTAGCATTAGAGCCCTGAGGGCCAGCAGGGTAGTTCACTCTCAAAGTATTTTCACAAATGCACATTCTTYATACATCTCATCCTATTCTAGCAGACCCTCTCACACAGGGAAGGCTAGTCCTAACTGGAGAGCCTGACTACATCCAGAGTTATTCCAGACAAAAATAGGACAGAGAGAAAAAAACATGTTTTACATCCTGAAGGGATGTCTGGTATTGTTTTCCAAGTCAGAGACAAGAGCAGAGGGGAAGAACAGCAGAGGACAGACACCTGGAGCCCAAAAAACCCTGCAGAGGCTACGTTCCATACTAACTTCACATGGGCTGGTGCCTTCAGGGTGTCATAGAAGAAGCTGTTCTGCTCCTCTTGATAGGAAAACCTGTAGATTGGCAAATAGGGCCCCTGAAACCAAATKACTGTGAAATATAGTAGTGGCCTTGAAAAATCTCTATATCCCCATTCTTCTCTGCTCAGTTCACTTAGGCCAGAGTCTACCTTTTAAAGCAGGACAGCTACTGGAACAGTAGGATGAGYCTGTTCTGCCTCTCCCTATTCTCCAGCTTGCTTCCTGGCAAGGGAGGCAGCTATACCCAAACTTCTCAGGTAGTACTCAGCATCATACCAAGGAAAAGCAATAAAAATTTGATGTCTTCATTTAGGAAACCATACAACTCCAAATTCTTCTCAACCTGTCTGGGAGGAAGAACTTGGGAAATGCATGCCAGAATCAGACTGGTCTGACTGGGCTAAATCTCATCACTAGAAGGATCTTTACAAGGAAGGCACTTTGTGAGGCAGAATGTGCTAGACAAAAAAAAAMCCAAAAAAGCCCTRAAAATCCAACAAAACAAAGTCAAAACCAAACAGCTACCCTAAACTGCGTTTTCTACATGRCCTTTTCCAGAGTGGCACAGTCAAGGCCATGGGCAAGGGTCAGGAAGTTAAGGAAGAGATTACTCCTATCAATCCAACTCATTCATGACTATACTTTTCCTAGGTCCTGATGTATCCCAGAATTCAGCCTTTACCTTTGCTTTGTCTGCAGAGGGGTCTGTGAGACAACACCATCCCGTGCAGGCAAAATGCTGGTCAGTGTGACATCATCAGCCATCTTGCCACTCTTCTCCTTCTTGGTGATTTGCCTCTGTGTTTCGAGGGACCATTCCTGTCCAAGGAAAAACAGTAATAGGATCAAGCCACTCAGACAGAAAAGCTCTGTACATCTTTTCTGCCCAATGTAGAGGACAGAAGACCAGGTTGTACTTCAGTAGCAGCTGAACTGGTCAGCTCAATGGCCTTGCTGACATAGCAGGCTCACTTCTGTTGAATCCCAAGGTGCAACAAGAGAGGCTGAGAGAAAATCATCAAAGAAAGCTATCCCACAGCCCTGAGCACCACCTCCTGTTCTCTGACCTTGAGTTGGATGGCTGGAGTATAGTTTGGCAGCCTACATATGCTGCTTTGGGCACCAGACAACTTGCAAYACAACAATTTCAGAAGAGCCTAACATCCTGAGCCTAACATTTGCTGAGCAAAGACATGGTCTTTCCAACACAAGACAAGTAATCCACCAATTTCAGTAAAGCAGCTAATTGTTTGGAAATAGTATTAATRCACTCTAGAATGCTACCCTACCTCAAACTGAGGCCAATTCATTGMCATGCCCGGTCCATGAGTGTTGCGCCACCACTTCAGGTCCTCCTGGTTGTCTGCAGCCATGATGACTTGGTGGAGATCCCGATACAATGCATGAAAGCTACATCCAGGAACAGACAGAACCATCAGTAATCAACTCCCTGGGCAGTTTCCCAAAAGCCAAGTAGGAAGGAAGAGATTAACCTCATGCACAATTACACAGCATCCTCAATCCCACAGGATTAAGGATACTACAGCAGCAGCTACTCAGCCCTAGGAAAACACATCCACCCTTACATGAGAATCAGTGTGGCAAACAAGACAGGCTTGTTTGGTGTGGCAGTGCCTAACAAGTGCCAGCTCTTAGCACAGCTCATTAAGTGAGCACTGAAAACACACAGCACATTCTTGCACATGGACAGGGAGGTAGCTCAGATTTGYTTTCTCTACCAGAAAAATAAAGGGGCACAGATTATTTTTGGCTGCACCTATTACCCCTGTGTAACCCCCACTTAGGGCAACTTTGGGCTTACAGGCACTGCTTCACAAAAGGTCTCTCTACTAAGGGCAAAATGGGAGGAATAACCATCAATACTAGAAGGCAACAGAGCTACTATTCCTTAGCCTGGGATTACATATAGCTACATGGAAGCATTTCATAGGATAGAAATACACTCACTGGACAGTACTGGACAGTAGTGAAAGAGGAAGGGTTCAAAGGCAGAAAATCCTCTCTGGGGAGTCTGATATTGCCTACAATCAGAGACCCCAGCACCAGTCACACCAAATGCCATTCTAAAATACACTTGAAAGGGGAAGGAGTGAGATCTGGCCAATGCAAGCAAGCAGCTTCCTTTCAGAGACACTGGAATTGACACCCCTCACCAGAGCCTAAGCACTCCAGGCTGGCAGAATTCCCCCCTGTAKCAGGGCCAGTACCTTTCACTGGTGGAAAGGTTGAGATGCTGGTGCAGATTCAGAAGCATCTCCTTAAAGAAGCACAATCTCTTGCGCTCTGCCTCCTGACAGCCCTCAAACACTTGCTCCATGTCTTCCATGTAGCGGGGATTGTAGCGGTTCAACTCTTCCAGCATCTTCTCATACTGATCCTTGCACTGCAGCAGGAGGACAGCAATGGTGAGATGTGTTGCTCTGATGGCAAACAAGTAACAACCCTCCCTACTATGGCTTGGGACTGACAAGTTTTTTTTCTGCCCTGCACTGCTAACAAACACACTAAAGAAATAAGAAATCTCACAGCTGCATTTTCCCAGTGCATTGCTCTCCTAACATTCTTGCAAGTTTCCTGTTCTTCCTTGTTACTCCCACAGAGAACCTTCCACAGTTTCCCTCTTGTGGGCAGACAAATCAGGTATTTTTGGTAGCCAAGTCTGCAGCTCTAGAGATTCCTCCCCCTGCACCAAATCCCCTACACCTTTTTCATTTTGAATTTATTTATAAATTAGGATCTTGCCCAACTCCAAAGACAGAGACCTTAGTTACTAAAGTCTCAGTCTAAATCACTAAAACCTCAGATGATGGGATCTCACATCTTTTTACAGGTTTCAGTAATTTCACTGAGGGACATTACCACCAATGTCTTTTCCTTGAAAGGAGTGTCCTTGTGACCCACATCCATATAACACGCACGCACCTTCTCAGCCTCCTGAGTGCACTTCTCCACACGCTCCTGCAACTTGCGCATCTGCTCCTGTGAGACAGATGAGTCTGCTTTGGCATGGTTCTCCCTTGTATGAGCTGTTTTCTCCTCCTTCCGGGCTGCATGATAGTTTTTCTTAGAAGTCTCCACCTGYAGAAGGGATGCAAAAAACCACCATGATCCTGCCCGTACTGATCCTCCAAAATTCAGAGAAGGCATGTGAACATTTGTTAAGACACTGCAACAACCTAAAAGGGAAGCCAATTTGGTCTTTAGTAAACAATCCTCCAGTGGGAAGAGGTACCTTCAAGTGATTTCTTTTTCAGCGCTCACCTGCTGTGCAGGAATACAGAACCTATTACCAAAGCTTTCCCATATGGGAAGGAAGTTATAAAACCACAAGRACAAGAGACGCTTGAGACATCCCTCCCTCTCTGGAATCCTCTGCTACTCTGGCTAACCTAGTTTGTTTGCCCAGTGATTCTTGAAATCAGGCAGCCAGCTCAAYTACCCATACCTCTCCTTCCCCATTCACACTTTGCTCACATCTTTCATCTTCTTCACCCAGGGCTTCTGGGCCTTGCGGAATCCTTCCTCTGCGTCCTTTGTTTCCTTGAAGCCTCCAATCATCTGTTTGTGGTAGGCCTCCTTCTGCCAGGCCTTGATCTTATCTGAGTCTTCACCAGCCAGGTGGTTCCGGACAGCCAAGTGAATTTCACTCAGTTTGTCTGCAGCTGTCAGGAAGGCATGCCAGGCCTTTTCCAGAGTACCATACTGTGGACCTGCAGGAACAAGCACCGGAGGGGCTCTTATACCTCCTGCCCACAGAAGGGAATGCAGTTTATTTTCTTCTTACATACATCTACCAGTAGGGAGTCACTTCCCTAATTCGGCCCCATCACACAACTCAGCACAGACTGGTCTCCACAGTCCCACTATGCAGCATCTAGCCTGGCTGTTACAGCTGGAGGAGATGGGCATTTCTTTGGGGCAGCCTCAGCTGCCCCAGATGGTGCCTGCTAGGAGAAGTTTTCTGTAGAAAATTCTCTTCACAAATCTGGCCTGAGCTTCAGGAAAGACAGCAACATGACTGAAGCTAGGCTTCTGCTCCACAGACCACCAGGTCCTTTGGGACATCTGTCCAATTGTTTCCTKTTGCTTTGTGAGACACTATCAGTTAGAGCACACTGCCACTAAGTCACAGCATCAGTAGTTATTCTCTGACTGGAGGAGAAGACAGCTRAGCCATCCTTAAAAGGGGGATACCTCCAGCTTGATTTAAGACATGGACTGCCCAAGGACTTGCCAAACTAAGCACACAGGTATTTTTTAAGCCATATTTTGTAATATTTTGTCATATTTTGTAATGACAAGAGAACAACCTCTCCAAGTGAATCAGAGGACTGACTACAAAAACACGGAGACAAGCAAAAAAGACACCCAAGAAAGTCACCCTGCTCCTGGGGAAGGGAAGCCTGTCTCTCGAAGAAACAGTGTCATCTCAGTAAGAGATGRCACTCAAAGAGGAGAATGCAGTGATTGTTTCCAGTTCCCAGTCTAATATGCAAACTTTACCTCTCTCCACATTGGTCCTCCACTTACGGGACCACTCTGTTAGCTGCTGGGCATAGTTCTTCTCTATCTTGGCTCGCTCCTGGAAGCAGGAGATGAGATCATTGCAGAGCCTGTAGCCATCATCTACACGTTTCACTGTCCGCTTGTAGTTTCCAGCCTGAAATGTCACACAACATTATCGTTTATACTGTACTTCCATATTCCTTMAGTAAAGACAACAGCAGGTGCATCATTGCACAGGGAAGGAACATGAGCCCCTTCTGAAGCAACATCTGGGCTCAGACCCTTCCTCTTGCACTCTCAGGCTGGAGGGAAAAAGATGAGATGCTTTGCTTGATTCTCACAGCTTAGATTGGYGTCAGCTGAACAAGGAACTGTAATTCCACAGTATCTGCAGAAGAGTCACCTACTCGCTGAACTAACACACAGCATGGTACTGAACCTTCCCACAGTTCCTCCCTACCACTCCTCAAGGGCAACATGTCACCCACAGACATGGAACTCAACCCTCTAATTCCACCAGTGGGTGGTAAGATGACACTCCTACCTCCCTCACACACMAATTATCCTTCCTTACCTCCCAGAAACTGCCCCCAGGAGCCTCCCCGCCAGCATCATCTTCTGATGACATCACCCTCTCTTTCTTGCAGCAGGGAATGTTTGCAGATTTCAGTTAACCTGACAAGACAGAAAAGTGATTTCAAACATAGCACTGGYTGAGCCTTTGCACACAGCCGAGTTCTCAATGACTTGGAGTTGGAAGAGCCCAACTTGCTGCCCTGCAGTCAAGTACTGGCATCAGTGCCCCTCCAGCTGCAGATGGCAAGGTCCAGCAGAGATGCCTAGGGCTGAACTGGCCTCCTTCTTCCCTGTGGACAGGAGGTCTCCTTGGCAGGCCTGTAACACCGGAAAAGGGTGTTGTAAAAGACAATCTTGCCAGACCTTGGCTGTATAGCTACTGGAAATGCTAGTGAATCCAACACTCCAGCAGTACCAAATACTTCTGCAGATACTCCTTTCTTAACCAAGGCCTTCAAGAGGGTAAGAGAAACTAAGGTAGCTAAAGCTGTTTGAAATCAGCCTTGAAAGACTTTAAATAAGTCTTCTGTCAATGGAGATGACTCCAGCTTCCCAGTWTGACTCAGGATTACGGGATTACAACTGACCGGGGAAAACAAGGCTGAGCAGTCAGCAGGCAAGCATGTCTTGAATGGGGAGGAGCCCTGTAAACTGCCCACCAGCTGAGCTGGGCTTGAGCAGAAGTACAGAAACATGCTGGGGCATACCCAGCCGAACAGCAGCACAGCACACGTGCCTCTTACCCAGCAGCACTGCTTCCCTAAAAATATCCCTGTACAGCTGCTGTTTTCACTACACTCACTGCATTAGGCTCAAAATCTAGGCTGGTAGGTACAAGGTTCATCTCCTCTGCTATATCAGAACTTTTGCCTATTCCCCTGTGTTAGCCTGCACTGCCAGATTGTCCCTGAGGTGGTACAACACTATGAAATCCCTGGGGAGAGGTTCAGGGTTGTTCTTGTGCAAGAATGAGACAAGGAGTAACAGGACCCAAGCCCAGTCACTTGCTGACAACYGAGTCCTTTCCAGACAAGCCCAGGTTAATGCAGCATGCATGGCCTTTGCTGCCACTTCTCCTCTTGCACATTCCTAGTTATAAAAAGCTTCCCTCACACCCCAGAGAGGTATCTGCTCATTCTGCCAGCCCACAGAGCTGGGAGATGAAGATCAGGTCAAGCAGAGATGAAGATCAGGTCAAGAGTCCACATCTCTCACCTCCTGAAAATTCTTCTTAGTGGCATGAGCCACACCTTGAAGCACCCCAACCCAGACTGCAGGAATTTCCGAGATTTGGTTTTGTTTGTCCAGTGTCATCCCATGGAGTGTATCAGAATTATATTAATGCTGTTCCTCTGGCATTCTTCAGAAAGCTGGAAGTGCTGAATTCCAGTCACTGAAGCAAGTTGTTTAATGAGATGCGACATTCAGATGCATGAACCTTGAAAAATTATTAAATCCTCCACCATGCCACCAGCTGACCCTGTCCTCAGTCCCCACCATTTGTCAGCTGGCTGCAAAGCCATCTTATAGTCTCCAGGACATGCAACTCTACTCCTGGCCCCAGTAACTACATACCTGACAGCTGAAAGTGAGATGCCACAGGGGAGCAGTGGGAAGCCGGCACGTGTGTCTCAAGCTCTTCAAACTCTGAAAAAAGACTGAAGGAGACAGAGATGGGCAGAGTCAGACACTCCTTTGCAAGGATGATGCCTGTTCTGATGCACTGCAATCCTAGGGGTGTCCCTTTTCTACCAGCTATTTAGGAGGGGCACCTTCTGATATAGCAGCTGCACCCACCGTGCCTCCAGAGATGCCATGTTCCAGCACGTAGGAGAGATGCCAAATCCTTGTGTCACAAGATCTAGCCCCAGAGAGAGTTAAAATAGAAACACTGGGGTGGCTGACAGCACTGTGCAGGAAAGGTAGCATCACAACAGCTGAGCACCGGGAACAGCTTGGTCCAGAAAGGCCTAAAATAAGCACAGACCCCCAGCAACCCACGTGGGGCCTGTTCATCTCTCACTGGACAGTGACCAGTTTAGCAAACCCCACCGCCTCCATGCACTGCTGCATATACTTTTACTCATAGCTGCTTTTGGGAGAAAGATGGAAGGATGCACACATACTTTCTCCAGTTTCTTTTAACTAAAGGTGAAGATTTATACACAAGTCAAAGAACTTAACTCTACATTAAAACAAAAAAAGGCCACTAAAACTCACTGGAATGCATATTCTGATCTAGAGACCCTATAGCAGAAAAGCACCTAGCACTGCACTGGTAGGATGTGGCTCTCTAGCAGGAGAGCTTTTCTGTCCCTTGCTTCTGTAAGTTGCCCCCATCACATTCTCAGAAATACTTAATTTTGCTATATGGTGCAGGTAACTGTCATCAACTTTCCACAGAGCAAAGAGAAGTAAAAGGTCTGCAGAGGCTAGTAGAAGTAAGGTCAGAATAAGGCATTTTTGTTTATCTCACATTTACAACCTCATGATTTACCTCCATGTATGAAGTTTATTTATTTATTTAAAACAAACAAACAAACAAAAAAAACCCAAACAAAAAAACTCCAACCAACAACAAAAAAACCCAAACCCAAAAAACAAAGAAAAAAAACAACACAAAACAAACCAAGCCCCACAAAACAAACCAAGCCCCACAAAACAAACCAAGCCCCACAAAACAAACCAAGCCCCACAAAACAA